AGGAGAAGTAAAGGCAAGAGTAATTAGCATTACAAGTTCTAGACAGGGAATCAGAAAAAAGTCAAAACAGTGTGAGTTTCAAATGTTCATATCAGAGTCTATTGGGATTTCTTGAAGAGAGCTTCCAAAACATCCCTCTATTGGGTTCCTCCTCATTTTTCTTTTGTCTTCCAAGGCTTGACTCGAGAGTGATGGACTCAGGATTTGTTTTCAGGCACTTTTGATGGCTGTTGGAGTGGCTAGAATCAGTGTCAGTTTCCTCTCAAAGGTTTCTAGATAGGGGGAGAAAACAAATTTAGCCATCATTTTAGAACAATATCTCCCTTAGCTACAGGTGGGCACTACAGTATTGCAGACCAAGATTTGAAGTCTTACATCTGAGCAGCACTTTCTGCTTAGAAACAAAATCATCAATGAGAAATACTTATCTAAATAACATTTTATATGAACTCAAGTCCAATGTCTGGGAAGTATAATCCCTTGAACTCTTAAAGAAATACACTGATCACTTTAATCTTCGGTTATACTTTCCTTTTGGGTGTTTAAGACCATTCAGTTGGCCCAAATAAACAAATTTATTTTTACTCTTAAGGTCATTTGAGGATCTGTTCCTCAGGGGTCACCTGGGCTTGGGAGGAGCCCTTGGCTCCTTTCTTTTACAGTTTCATTTATGTGAAGATCACTCAAAGGCCCTGCTTGACTGTGGCTGGCTTTACCTGGGAGTGTGGAGGAAATGTTTCCTCTGTGTTGACCCTCCTCTTGGTAGACTGGACACTGGTTCAAGTCCAACTGGTGGGGTCTCCATGGCCTCCCTGAACAAGAGGACAGATGACTCATCACAGTTACAGGAAATATTTTTTGTAATTACAAATATTTTTAATGCTGGAATTGTTTGTTCTTTCATGAATAATTATTTCACTTTAAAAAATATTTTCTTTATTTTATTTTATTATGTGTACGAGTATATTGCCTGCATTTTTGTAGGTGCCCCTGTGTTGTGCAGTGCCCTCAGAGGTCAGAAGAGAGCATTGGATCCCCTGGGACTGGAGTTATAGATGGTTGTTAGCCACCATATGGGTGCTGGGAACCAAACCTGGGTCCTTTGCAAGAGCAGCCAGTGCTCTTAACCGCTGAGCAATCTCTCCAGCCTCACATGACCAATAATTTAGAAATAGAAGCTTCTGTATATTTCTGATTCTGTGAATTTTGTACTGTTTAAAGGAATTATTGGGTGAAATAGTTGATATGTCTTTCATGAAATTAAAGAGAATTATAGAATGTAGAATATAGTTATATGCTGACAGAATAACTACTAGTTATTTAACTATTCAGTGTAAACTGTATTTAATCTAGGAAATATTTATTATGGCAATAGCTCAAATGTTTTCAGAAGGACTTAAACATGAAACACAGTGTGTGTTTTACCACCAATGGGAAAATACGTTTCTGTGATCCAGATTTTAAGAACAAATGGACTAACAATTCTAAAACAAATTTATATTGCCCTTGGTAACGAGAATTTCCAAATCACTAATGGAAATTTCTATATCAACATTTTGATGGCAAGACATACTTTCCATGAAAGTGTAAACCTTGTATTTAAAGTCAAGAGATTCAGACTCTGATCTCAATTCTGTATTAAGCTGTGTGTTCTTGAGCAATCAGGCCAACTTTCCGGCACTCAAGCTCCTTCTATAATGTGCATTTTAAGTGCATTGTGTGATAAGACCTTTTGAGGTGCTTCTAGCACAGATATCCTTTGATGAGTTTAGGATATTAAGCAATGCTTAGCCAGATTTCCTTTTTTTTCTTTTTGAGAGAGAGAGAGAGAGAGAGAGAGAGAGAGAGATAGAGAGAGAGAGAGATAGAGAGAGAGACACTCCCTATAGTCCCACCTGGCCTGGAACTCATTCTGTATACCAATCTGGCCTCAGTCTCACAGAGATCCACCTGCCTCCACCTCCCGAGTGCTGTGATTAAAGGTGTGTGCTACCAGACCAAGGTAGATATATTTACCTTTTAAACTACATCTTGTTTGCGAAAAAACTTGTGAAAGTGAATGATTCCCTATTTTCTGGGACATTTCAACATTATTGATGAAAGTAAAATTAGGAAAACAAGACAGGTATCTAATTGTTAGAATCGGTATTTCATTTGTATTGCCCAACAAGTCCCTTGAGAGCTGACAGTAGAGGAATTTTTAGAGCATATTTCATTACTCCTGTCAGTGATGCCTTTGTTCTGGTTGTAGTCTGACAAGGCCGGCTGAGCCCATGCTTCTTCTACTGAGGTTTCAGGTTTACAGATTGCAGTTCATTGATTCAGAAGGTTAGCACTTCCCAATTACCATACTAATGGTTAATAGAAAGCAGATGTCTGGGAAGGTGAAAGATGGAGGTGTGCTCTGAGAAAAATATGTGAGCATTACATGATTAAAAGCAATAAAGTGCTGAGTTTCAGCACTGTTTGTGACTTTTACTTAACACCACACTATTCAAATGATGAAACTGAAACCCAGAGAAGAATCATTGGCCCATGATTATGCCTTTGCTAGTTTAAAAATGAGTAATGGAATTCAGGTCTCCAGAGTGATGGGAGAAAGGCATAGTCACACATGATGTCTGCCTTCACTTGTAGACTAGCTTTTACCTTGTCTACAAGTTGTCCACCAAAGGTAGAATGAGAGCCCTTAACATCTTTACTCTGACATTGCAATGATCATTATGCCTCCAGTAGAAATAGGACACAAATTCAATGAAAGGAAATATTAGTTGATTATTCTCTGATATTTAGATAGCAAAAGTATTTGTTTTCTAGAAAATATTTCTATTTTTAGAGAACATTTTAAGATTTGTAATTAGATAGAAAAATAAGTATAGCAGCAAAAATAATCTAGAGAAGGGAAAACAGCAGGTCTTTTAACTAAGTACAGGTGATAAGAGCTTATTCTTAACTCTCCCCTGCTGCTATTTTGCAATACAAGAAAAATGGCCTAGCTTCTAAGTATCTCTGTCCTTTTAGTAAAACTGAAAAAATAGTGTTTTAACATCTATGCATTTTGGAAGAACTTCCTGAAAAGTATGAGATGTTTGTGCTAAAGATACGATCTCTAGTCATTTTAGTTAGCATGGCACATGTTTAATATTTATCCCCAAATAAAAGATTAGGACTTAAATTTTGACTATAATCATTTACCTACACATCATTTAGATTAAGTTCTAGGGAATTAGAAACAAAAACAGACTTTTTCTGCTAATTAAAAAATTTACTGCTACAAATATAAAAATTAATTTTCTTTATTTTTAAACTCTCAAACTTGCGAGTAAGCTATTAAAACATTAGATATATCCAGCCCTAAGTGACACATCTACAATGGAAACTCTACACCTATGGCTTGTGGAACATAGCTGAACAGGGGTTAGAGAGAATACTTAACATATTTCTCAACTCTCACCAGTGACACTTCCTCATGCAATAGAGTACTAGGCACACAGGAGGCCACAATTGGCCAAAGTGTAGAGAATAAGAGACTGCAGAGTGCATGTCCCTGGATAGGACTGCTCTATCAAACCTAACTCACCCATGGCTCAGGGACCATTGCAGACTAAGGGGCAGAAAGATTGTAAGAGCCAATGATAGTGCATGATCGCAAGGAAACAGAGTCTTCCAGGCCTCTGGGTCCTTTCTCATATGATCTTACAGCAGTGGTGTCAGCATGCACAAGACCCATGCAAACGCAGCTAGACAAAAACCCAGCATAAAACTGGGGTAAATGGGCGGTAGGTCCCAACCTCAGCCGAAGAGCTATTGGCAGCTGATTACCCTGGGTGAGGGAGAGTTGATTTCTTTAGGGGAGAGACTTAGGCAGGCTGACTAGACCCCAGTGGATAAAATTGCACTGAGGGACATCTGGGTATGCAACTTTGACTCGATAGGCCTTAACATATATGACAGAATGCATGAAATCTTGTGGCGGAGGGATATCTGAGAGATGAGGATGGGGGAGCTGGTATAAAGATGATTAAAATGTTTTGTGTAAAGTACACAAAGATTCAAAAACCATTTATGTAAGTTGGTAGAATTTTTGTAATGACTTTCCAGTGATAATTATTCTCTCTCCTTAATGGTCTGGACTTTAAGCTACAATAATGAGATGGTTTAGTTAGAACTGCTCACTCATGTGCAAGGTCTTGTGTTTGCTTGTTGAGAATTATTTATGGCTGTTGTATAGAATGGACTGAAAGGCATTCTTGCAGCCTGTGTTGGGTACAGAATTTAATGAAAGCCCTTATTCCAAATGTGTTACTGAGTCCCTTGTGTTTAATGCACAGATTCAAAATGACCAGTGCCAGGAGATGGATGCCACCACTGACAAGTGGATGAAGCTCACGGACAATGGAGAATGGGGCTCCCATTCTGTAAGTCTCTTTTTTTTGTGTCTTCTGTGACACTATCCCATTCTTCTTCCATTTCCCAACCATTTCAGTGTATTCATTTTAAGAAAATAAAAAGAGCAGCATGGTCTATTGATTCAGATAATTTCCATTAAGAGAAGAAGTTGCCTCTGTATTTCATAGACTTAGATTACTTTCCCTTTCGTATCATTCTTCTACTTTGCTCCCTTTTAAGGAAGGCTCAACAAGAAAAAAGGACTGTTTAAAACTAATACAAAATGTTGCAAAGTTTTAGTAATGTAGATTTAGAAATGTGCCTGTCACATGTGATAGAATGTCATTGAAAAGACATTGAATTGATTTAATGTTCTTTGCAGTGTTCCTAGCAAGTGATTTTGATTTTCAGGTTTGCTTTGTTGGGCTTTTTGCTGTCTCTGTTGCTGGATAGCTTTAGTTTTCACAAAATTCACTCACACTTGGAATCTCAACCTGCTTCCTATGTGTTTGTTACCCGTTGGTAAAAATTCTACCCTTTCTGGTCACATGAAACATGAGATTTACTGCTCCCCAGCACTTCTCTTTAAATGTTTGGTGCTCGGATAGCATGTTTTAGTACATCTGTTGTTATTTGTGGCACTGTCTCGTTGGAGTGAAGCATGGATTTAAAATTTGTTTTGTATTTGAGTTGTGTTTCTTTGGGTGACTCGGTTAATGTCCTTGTGTCAGATCTTTCATTTTAGAAATGAGAGCAGTCTTGCTATATCAGATGAGAGGATAATGAGAAGGGCCCATTGTGCCTCCAGGGTAGACTGAGTTTCGTTTCAGTAACTGACCATCATTTTTGCCTTTGTGGTCAAAGGAATGCCTAATCCTCGAGTGACTACACAGTGCAGGCTTTAAGGTTTTCACCTCTATGCTTGTCAGTAATATCAGTACTGCTTAAAATCCACTCACCTCAATACCCAGCCAGCTGGGGCTTGGCAGAAAATATGCTTTCTTCACTTTTGAGGACTTAATAAACAAGAGGAATGTGCTGAATACATGAGTTCTCCCATCTCTGGTGGGGTGAAGCAGTTGTGCAGGTTTTAATGTTACGTAGCTTGAGCTTCATCAGCCAGGGTCTGCATGGAAGAACAAAGGTATCAAATGAAAAAGCAAAGAACTGAAGTTGCTTCAGTTACTTCAGCATGAAATTTGGCAGGAAATTAGTTAGATTTATAATTAGAAAATGTTCCAATGGTAAAGGAAGCAAATACTGTATCATTTAAAGTTAAGAGACAGAATTAAATCAAGTTATTCTGTAAGAATAGTACATTTTCCCTTGTTGCTATTGCCTTGTAGCTTATTGAATACTTTGTAAAAGCTTTAAAGCTATGATATTACATTTCCTCATGTAACACAATACCCAGGGTTACAGATATATAGATACTTTATAAAGAAAAAAAGGCTTATTTCATTCAGTGTTAGGGGTTTAATGTCATGGTCCCAGCATGGTCTTAGCTCTGGAGTGAGTGCCTGAGTGCTTACACAGTGAAGCAGGAAGCCAGAGCAACGGAGATCCAGGACTGCTCTTTTACTACAACCTAGTTCTGTAGGAACTGACTACATGAGACCAGTATTAGTCACTTCTCAAGGCATTGTTCCCAAGGACCTAAGTACCTCCCACTAGCCTTGCCTCATCCAGTTCATTGCTGCCACCCTGCAGACCAAGCTTCCAACATGGCCCTTTGGGATCACACACACTGTATCCAAGTCATAGCAGAAGCAAACACTGTGCTGCTTTTTTGTTGTTTTAGAGCTCAGAGATCTGCTTAGGAATAACATTACTGTAAAAATGTACAAGGGGCTCAGTATCTTTTATCCTTTATAGTGAAGCCTTTTTTATGAAAAAGCATAAGAATTTACAGTTTGAAAACCCATTTTTCTTTTTGTTTTGACTTGAAGGTTTCTTTCTTAGTACATTTTGTGGAGTGTCAGACTGTTCTTTTTTCTTAATTTTAAATCAACTTCATTAGAGCTGAGACTAGAATTAAGAGTACTTACATTTGTTAGTTCTATTTTTTTTTCCATTTTTGGTTTTTTTTTGAGATAGGGTCTCCCTGTAGTCCCAGCTGGCCTAGAACTCGCTGTAGAGACCAGGCTGACCCAGGAGTTGGGATTAAAGGCGTTCACCATCACTCCCTGATGTAGTTCTGTTTTAATGGTGTTTTTCTTATATCACAGCTTTTGGCTGTGGTTGAAAATAGTGTGGCTCATCTGACCTGAATGCTTTGTGTTTTTTTCTGCAGGTAATGCTGAAATCAGGCACAAACATCCTGTACTGGAGGACGACAGGTATTCTTATGGGCTCTAAGGCAGTCAAGCCTGTGCTGGTGAAAAATATCACCATTGAAGGTATTTCATAGCAATGTGCCTCAGCAGTTACTAATCCACTTTTACTGTTAAAATATTTATCAGCATTGGTTTTCCTGACTCAATGGTTCATAATAAACATAAAAATGAATATTAGGCATCATACAGGTCTAACAGCCCTATCTTTATTTCCATCAAATTGATCAACTATTAGTTTTTTTTTCTTCTACCTTTAAACTGATTTAATCTGTATAAAGCAGAGAACATGATGACAATCTTAGGTGTTTTAAAAATAAAATAAAACTTTTTTTAAATAGAGGCTATTATTCATTAAATATATGTACATTATGCCAGGCATCATGCCAGATTATCTATAAAAATAATGAAAGTTGGGCTGTTCCTAAACCTCTCTGTCTCTCTGAACAAGATGGGTCACTTCTGTTCCACTGAGCCACCAAGAAACTCTGGTGTGGCTCATTCTCACATAGGGGTGCATTTAATTAAAGCAGTGGTTCTTCTTTAGTAAAATTTCTTTTGTATTTTGCTGTGTCCTAAATGCTTGCTCCTAGGATGTTCATCATTGGGACATCTACTGGCCAAAGCAGGAATTAGAAACCAAAAGACAAGTTAAACTATTCCTAGAGTCTGTTAGGTCTCGTTTATACTGGAAATCAGCAGCAAAGGAAGTATACAAAGATCAGAGAATACTAGGCTTATAGGGTTACCAGGGCCTTAGAGTTCATCCCACTTTTGAGTTAGTTTATAAGCTTACCGTATCTAACCTCTTGTTCCAATATTTATTAAACTTACTATTCTAAATTCAGTGTTATAGCCTCCTTGCTTACACCCCATAAATCTTTCTTTGTTGCAAATTAATAAAATAATTAAAAAAAGTTTAGAGTGGTCTTATTGTTAAAATTTCTCTCTTCCTGTGAAGTGAAAAGTAGGTGATAATGTGTGTGCTGGTGCTGATTTCTCTCTCCCATGCCCTGTTCTTCCTTCCCACACAGGGGTGGCATACACTTCAGAGTGCTTTCCATGCAAGCCAGGCACTTTCAGCAACAAACCAGGCTCATTTCACTGCCAAATGTGTCCCAGAAACACCTATTCTGAGAAGGGTGCCAAAGAATGCATAAGGTGTGACGAGGACTCCCAATTTTCAGGTAGGGCTAGTTTGCATTCTTTGTTCACATGGCAGAAGGAGTGTTGCAGTGGTGGTGGGCCACACACCAATGTGATAAATGGACTGCATATTGAATGGAGAAAATGTGACATGCTCGGGTCTTTCTGCATGACTTCTCTTTGTCTATGATTTTCCTTTATTTCACATCTCACAGATAATTGGTACAGGTGTGTTTATAGCAATCTCACAAAGCCCTTACTTTCAGATGATTCGTGGGCATACAAATGGACTTAGAAACTTAATATGTTCCAAATTCCTGGTCATCAGTGATATTGGAAGAGAAATCTAATACCTTCTGGAAAAACCTGATTTTCTCTGTGTATATATCATGGAGTCATTTAAGCTCCTTCCAAGGAAAATAAAAATGCAAAACTTTCTTTTCTTTAGGCCTGGTTAAAGTTCTAGTTAAGCTACTATGGTACAGTGATTTTTAGTTTTTAGTTTGCTTTGTGTTTTGTGATCCTTTTCTTAGGATCACAAAAGAATTGGTCTACTTCTGAAATGCTTATTTTTGTGTATTGCAGAGGAAGGAGCCAGTGAGTGTGGGGAGCGCCCGCCCTGCACTACCAAAGACTATTTCCAGATCCATACCCCGTGTGATGAAGAAGGAAAGGTATCAGCAGTGTTCAACTCCACCCACACTTAGCCCACTCTCATCCAGCTTGAGCATGCGAGGGACCTGTATCGTGCAGGACGTGCAGAGGGAATCTGCAAGTTTAGGTGTTGCGACCTGCCCTTGTTGCTTTGACTTCCCAAACTATTTGACATCCTTAAGCTTCAGGTTTTTCATCTGTAAAAGAGGGTTAATTTTAATACCCACTTCATAAACCTCCTATGAGCAATATAAGATAATCAAAATAAAGTTCCCAGCCCAGAGCCTGTCATATTATGAGTGCCCCATAAATTATTATTTCTATTTTTAGCCTGGATGTGGTGGCACATGAGAGTCCAAAGGAAAAATGTGAAGTAACTTTTTAAAACTTCAGTCTGGCAAGGAACGTAGCTTGAGCACAGTCGACAGCAAGACAGGTGTGAACAAGTGGCTGTAATTGCTGAGGACGTGCACATGTTTTTGTACTGGAGCATTTAAAAAGATGCCATGAGAGTATGACTCTTTTCTTGGAAAGTTTCAGGGCATAAAAATGCAAGTGAATTTGAAAGATTTTTCAATTGGGGCCAGCATGATGGCTCAGTGGGTAAAGGTACTTGGCACCAAGCCTAATGACCTAAGTTTTATCCCCAAGACCCACATAGTGGAAAGAAGTAATCAATTCCCTCAAGTTGTCCTCTGCCCTCCACATGTACACACATACACACGTACACACACAGACACACAAACACGATAAATAAACAAACAAATAAATGAATAAATAAATAAAAATAATTGAAATGTAATAACAACAGACTCTCATTTACAAAGAGAGAGTAAAAGGCTGGAGAGATGGCTTAGTGGTTAAGACCACTGGCTGCTCTTTCAGAGGACCTGGGCTTGTTTTCCAGCACACACATGGCAGCTAACAACTGTCATAACTCCAGTTCCAGGGGATCCAAGAGTCTCTTCTGTCCTCCACGGGCATTGCATGACACGGGTACACCTACGTACATGGGGGCAACACATGCATACACACGAAGATATTAAAATATTTAAAGAAAAAGAATGTAAATGCCCCATAACATTAAAAAGAGAAAAGAAAAGAAAAAAGGGCTGGATAGATAGCTCAGTGGTTAAGAGAGACTGGTTCTCGGCACGCACATGAAATGGCTCAAAAAAACACCTGTTGCAAGGAATCTAGTGCCCTCTCTGGCCTCTGTGGGCACCTGCAGACATGAGGTGCATATATAGATGAGCGTATATACACGTAAAATAAATAATGAAATACACACACATAAAATAATAATAAATCCTCAGAGCTGGAGAGATGGCTCAGCAGTTCAAAGCATATGCTTCTCTTACAAAAGATTAGCGTTCAGTTCCCAGAAACCATGTCAAGCAGTTCACAACCATCTCTAGAGGGCACCTGTACACACATACATGCCTGCATACACACACACACACACACACACACACACACACGTGTGCACATACAGAGGCATGCTGTATGTGTACATACACATGAATTGTGATTTTCTTTTGATTCTGGAAGATGTCTGAACATGTTATTGGCATAGAAAACAATGTTCTAGTGCTCCATCAATTCAATGATTTTAAAAAGTATTAAGATTTATTATGACATAAATATTTTTAGTTCTAGAAGTAAAAAAGAAACAAGTTTAATAAAGTGTGTTAGTGCTGCTTATATTACACATGTGAATCTAAGATGTTTTCCTATTTTTGTTTATTTTAACATGTTCATTTATTTCAGTTTCATCTTTTAGAAAGTTACTTTATTTTTGGTATGAATAGCATGGTGATTTCTAGCACTTCAATGGTGTTCCCCAGGTTGTTTGGCAACTGTGTCCTGTTTTTTTGTCCCATGGCATTATGCTCACTGATCCAGTTTTCCCTTGCTAGTGAAGAACATTAAATTTAGTAACAAGGAAAGCAGCCAATGAAGTATATAGATTCCAAGTATTTTAATTTATATGACAATGACTAGCACAAGGCTCAGTGTTTACTTTGAATGTTAGTTAAAAATAGCTTGCCTTTTCTATTTATATGGGAAGTTTTTCAGGAAATTTGTAATATGTAACTGGAACTATTCTAGTGCTTCCCTCTCATTAACATCATGAACATATGGACTATCCATTCATTCATTTTTATTCAGTGAATCTTTACTGACTAGCTTGCATTCAGAGTACTGAGTGATGAGGGCAGAGCTAAGGACTGAAAGAAAGACAAATGTGTGTAGATGTACAACAGTGACTGTAAACGTTCCGTGGGCATCTGACTCTCCTGGAGCCACTGAGTCCCAGATTTTCTGATTTAGCAGATCTTGGGTATGACTCAAGAATCTGAGTTTTGAAAATAATCCCATAATTATGATTTGGTTTATCCAGGATCTTAGCACTTTCTGTTATTGATCTTGACTCTAGAGGAAAGGGTAGACAGTTAAAGAAAGTGAATTATTATTTCCCCTTGTATTTAGTGCCACAGTAGAGAAGTTTTAGTTTGATGGCATCTGATCCAGCCTGGGCCAGATTTAGGGCTATATGAAAAGTAGAGAAGTTCTTGCATGATGTGGACACACTTACATGCAGACAATATACTCATACACATAAAAGAAATAAAAATAATAAATAAAATATTTAAAAAGAGAAGTTCATAGACGGGGAATAATTTTGGTGGTGGGAGTAAGGTGGTGAAGATCTGATGGGGGAAAGAACGTGATGTGCCTAAAGAACTGAGAGGGTATGAGTGCACCTGGAAAGTGGGATGTGGAGGGGAATCACATTAGGTTCTACTAGGGACATAGGCTAGTTTAAGAATCAGCATGGCTCCATAAGGCCATGTTAGCAATTTTGGTCTTTATTTAACCAAGAAAACTAAGTGATATGCTTGAGTTTATGGAAGTCCTCTTTGCAGTATTTTCATATCAAAATTAGAGGATGAAAGATTATGTATACACCACTTAGATGGTTCATGGTGCTGTTCTTTAGGAAAGAGAAAGAAGTAGTTGTTTTTAGAGGGAATAGAGGAAAGGCTCTGGATTAGAGGGATAAGTAGTGAATTAAATTCAGAAGGTGCAATGATTGGCAGAGTTAATAGGAGATGGATCAGTTTTAGACTGATGGGTAGGGTGCTGTTGATCAGAGAAAAGGTTTGGAGGCAGCAAAGGGAAGACCACAAAGATAGTTTTGATTATGTTTATAATACAGTGAACCAACTGACAGTTGGCTGTACTTGACAAGAGCTCAGGAGAACATCTGGGCTCTGTATCATCCGAGATGATAAAACTGAGGATTACTGAAGTTGAGCAACTTCTTATACTAATAGGTTATAAGTCCTAAGGCTGGCACTTAACCCAACTTCTCTGTTTCCAAACCCAGGGCTTTTTATTCTGTTTGTATCCTTTATTTTAAGTTTGATAGTAGTTACGAACCTGTCTTATCACTTAGACTGAAGTCTCCTTTGTAGCAAAATATTTGTTATCTTAATATTTATAATTTCATATAGCCCATAGTGCTTTGTTCTGTGAGTAGTAGTTGCTCAGTAAAAATTCCTTTAATTATTATTTAAGTCTTTAGAAAATCATAGCAGAGAAGAAATGGACTTTTCTATGTTAGTCCACAAGGCAAAATTAGGGCTTATCAGGTGAACTTCCAGAAGGTAATTACAGGAAAATGTTATGACATTTTAAGAGCATAGCTGCACAATCCTACATGGCAAGTCTTGTCAAATTGAGAACTTTCTGAAAAACTAGAAGATCCTGTGGTATGGATAAAAGATTGAGAAGGGAGCCTTCTTAGAAGAGACGCTACAATTCCTCATCTTTGAATCTAAGAAATTTATGAGTCATATAGGATTTGCTAGAGTTTTGTTATCAGATTAGCTTCTGCTTTCTTTACCCTTTAATGATCTTCAGTATTACTGAGTATTCCAAGCAGTCAAGTTCTAAACTACAGTACTTCTGATCCATACAACAGGAGATGTGGGAGACATTAGAAAACAGGGTAGAAAGAGGTCTGAGTCTTAAATCTGTCTTTATTCTTATATAATTTAAGCAGGTCAGATACACTTAGAACCTATATGACATTTCTCAGCAAGTAGAGAGTTCTGAATTTATTTAAAATAAAAATTTTAGTTTTCTTAAAGATTTTTATGTCTATTTATTTTTAATTATGTGTGTGTGTGTGTGTGTGTGTGTGTGTGTGCATGTATCTTTGTGTGGGTTTGTGAATGTGAGTGTAGGCACCCATGGGAGCCCAAGGCTTTAGATTCCCTGAAGCTGGAGTTATAGGTGGTTGTGAGCTGCTTCAATGTGGGATCTGGAAATTGAATTCTGGTCCTCTGTAAGAACAGTGTGTGCTCTTAACCACTGAGCCATCTCTCCAGCTCCAGAATTTTAGTTTTAAAAAGAATCTTTTCTTAAAGTTAAAGACAGAATTCTCATGTATTTTATGGTTTTAGTACATTCACAACAATCTAGTTTTAGCCAGGCGTGGTGGCCCAGCACTCCTGAGTCCTAGCACTCAGGAGGCAAAGGCAGGAGGATCTCTGTGAGTTCGAGGCCAGCCTAGTCTATATAGCAAGTTCCAGGCCAGCTGGGGCTACAGGGAGACCCTGTCTCAAACAAACAAACAAACAAACAAACAAACAGAATCTAATTTTATGTTTTCTTGCTTAAAACCCTGGTGAAAACATCCAGTATAGTGTTAACTGTGCTGTATAAATTCATAAAAGAAGATCAAAACCAAAGCCAAGATTGTTAAACACTTTGAAAGGGGAGGAGGAGGTAACCACAAGTGAAAAGCAGTAAAGGTTTAGAAGCATCAGGGAAGCAACAGCAGCGTATTTGGCTGAGGCTTCCTGAGCTAGAACATCCTGGAATAGAAGACAGGCCAGTGGCAGTTTATGAGCTCCTTCAGACATATCCAAGTTCTCTCTGATGACTCCAGCCGAGCTGTGAAGGCTCAGTGCATTTGTGCAGTGGTGTTTGAAAGAAGAAAATGGTACCTTGAACAAATCCAGGCTCAAAAGTTTCTGAAATTTTAGTCTAAGTCTTGAATTTTATTTTGATATGAGAACCAGCTTCCAATATATTTCTTCTTGTGATTTTTAAATGTATTATTTTTATTTCATGTTTGTGAGTGTATTGCCTGCATGTATGTGAGTGCACCTGTATTGTGCAGTGCCTACAGAGGTCAAAAGGGGTCATCGGATCCCCTGGAACTGGAGTTACAGATGGCCTTTAGCCTCCATGTGGGTGCTGGGAATCAAACCTGGGTCCTCTGCAAGAGTAGTCAGTTCTCTTAACTGCTGAGCCATCTCTCCAGCCCTCTTCTTGTGTTTTATAAAGATTCATTTTTAATGCTTAATATAAACAGACATAGACATTGAAGCTCTTTTGTAATCTTGGTATTCTGGTAAATTTTTCTCTGTTAAGAGAGTTTTTGTTTCATGAAAACATTTTATAATTGCATCTTAATTACCAAAGAATGATTTGCTTGTTGGTGTGTCACCTGCACTACAAGCCATCTGGTACTAAGTATCATTAATATGAATTATTATCTTTCCCAGTCAGCTAAACTTGGTAGCATCTGTCTCTATCAGAAAGGCAGAGAATCAGTCTGCCATGTGAGGCAAGAGGATTTGTAAACAAAACTTTTACTATGGAGAAATTATAATTTGACTTCTCCATGTTTAAATGTTTAAAGACAACACACATTTTCTAATTTCTCAAAATTTTGCTTGCTTACGTTGGAAGTCAGTTGGTTATCTGGCTTCTCAAAATGTGCTTGTATATTTTATTGTTTTTACTCTCATCAAACTTACCCTTCTTGAATGGGGCTGCTTGAGTACTAACTAGTAGTATATCTTTTGGGCAATTTTTTAAGAAGCACTAATCTGGGGGCTGGGGAGATGGCTCAATTGGTAAAGTGCTTGCCTTGCGGGCAACATAATTATGAGTTCAATTCCCAGTTAAGAAACATGGCCTAGTGGCATGTACTAATCATCCCAGGGCTGGGGAGGTAGAGACAGATAAATCATGGAAACTTGCTGGCCAGCCAACCTAGCTTTTGAATTTCAGCAAGAGAGGACTTGTCAAAAAAAAAAGAGGTGGATAAAGTCTGAAGAATCTGAAGAATAATGCTCAAGATTGTCCTCTGGCCTCCGCATGTACACCTGTTATAACCCCAACACTTATGTACACAAACATGCATATATGCTGAATTCTTAACCTGGAGTATTTCCTTATTTGCAAACTTGATGATACTATGATGACATTACTCAGTCCCCAAGAGACTGAGAAAATTATGTGATAGTACAGGTCATCAATACTGCCTACCCTCTTCTTATAGGAACCAACATTTCTCCCAAATGTAGCAGCTCACACATATTTACTAATGTAATAGTAAATTAATGAATTGACTACAATTTTAGATTTGTTTTCTATACTTGTTAAATTGTAAATTTAAAGTCAATCTCTCTACTGTAATTATGATTCACTTGTTTAGATTCTCTGGATTTTATGCTGCCTTTCTTGAGGGGAGGTGGGAGCCTGTTATGGATACAGTATCTAATTAGTTTTTTCCAGCTTCTTAGGAAGACTCAGCTGGCGCAGCCATTATTTTACAGATGACAACAGGCACAGATGGGGGAAAGGGCTGGTTAAAGTGCATCATGACATAGGTCATAAAATGAATGTCAAAAGGGGGAGTTATAAAAAGGAAAAAAATACTATTTGCCATTCTGTTGAGACATCTGTTTTTAAACCATTTTCTTTAGCGCCCTTCTTCGTACAGGTAATCTGTTTCATAAGCACATCTGAGGATATAGTTGAGTGTCCTACACATGATTTCCTGTGGACTAGAAACAGTGATAGAGAATTGTCTGTAATTTTGGTTCTCTAGTTTCAAAAGGAGAAAAATACTTTAAAAAGTTCTATGTTCAATGAAAGAGTCGCTCTTTAGAAAAAGATACATTTAGTTACAGTAGAGTTGGTTTACTATTCTGGTTGTACTAGAACACTTTCTCCTCAATTTCACATATGAATTTTGCTTTAGAAGAGAGAACCCATTTAATATTTCTCTTTCAAATGGAAACTAATTACTATTTTTCGCCTTTTAAATTGAATTTCATACAATATATTTTGATCATATTTAGAAATTTTGTCTGACGTGAACGTACGTGTTACTTTTGCATGCTGGTATCATTGCTGTGAGTTCATATGTGTGACTTCCCAGCTGTTTGGGAAACTCTGTTTCCTCCTCATCACCCACTACATATGGCTCTTACTTATCATTAATGGCTTGCTGGGTTTGGGTGGGTTATAGCTATTTTCTTATATTTTGTTTTGTTTGGTAGGGGCTAAGGGGAAGCAGTTTAGGTAGCAAATCCTTCTGGAAAGCAGAGACTGTGTTCATCCTTAAGTTCAGAGCATATGGAAGAGGCCTGGAAGCTTCTGGAGAAAACAGTTCAGCTACTGCTCTTGTAGTCTAACAATGTTATTGAAAAAGATTCAGCAAGTACAAATATTTATGAATTAGTATGATTGCATGTGAAGCTTGGTTTAATTTTTGGAAAAAATGTTTTTCTTTGGTGATTACTATGTGTGAAGTGTGGTAATAGACTGTGGCTAGAGAAAAGGAAGGAGCCAGTGGAGAGCTTAGATGAGGAAGAAAAAGTCAGTACACAGAAACTGTTGGCTATACAGTAAAGTGAGTGGACACAAGGACAAAAGTTGTTTCCATTTTAAAGAGAGGCTCATGATGTCTATGTGGTAAGAGTGCATTTGACCTAGGGGAAAAACTTTCACAAACTAATGATAATTTCTGGAGATTAGGGAGATAGCTCAATTGGAAAAGTGCTTACCCTGCAGTCATGAGGGCCTGAGTTTGATTGCCCAAAACCCACATTTAAAAATGTATGGGTGCACTCCTGTAATCTTAGCAGAGATTGGGTAAGAAGAGACAGAAGGATCTCGGGGCTAAATGGGTAGACAGCCAAACTGATTCCACAAGCTCCAGATTCAGTGAGCAACTGTCTCAAAAATTAAGTTGGAGGGCCAGAGAGTTGGCTCAGTAGGTAAAGGTACTTGCAACAAAGCCTGATGACTTGAGTTCAATATCTAGGACCCACATAGTAGAAGGAAAGAACCACAAGTTGTCCTCTGACTTCCGCATACATACTATGTCACACACACACACACACACACACACACACGCACGCACGCGCGCACGCACGCACGCGCACACACACACACACACACACACACACACACACAATTACTTTGTGTTTTGTTTTTTGAGACAGGGTTTCCCTGTAGCCCCAGCTGGGCTGAAACTCACTACGTACAGCAGGCTAGCCTTGATCTCACAGATATTTGACTACCTCAGCCTCCTGAATGCTGAGTGCTGGGATTAAAGGTGCGTACCACCACATCCAGCCACACACACACAGTTTTAAAAAAATGGTGAAAAACAGTTTGAAGAAGACATCAAATGTTGATCTTAAACCTTCACATGCATGTGCACACATCCATATATGCACAAATGCACACATGCACACAGAATCATATTTCCTACCAAATTTTTCTTTTTCCCTTATTATCAACAAAAGTTTCCTCTTTTCTCTCATTTTGTCACTGTTTCAGAGTCTCTCAGCTTCCCCTTCTGTTCTCCCACTGTTTGTACTTTTATTTACCAATTTAGCATCTGTGTTATGAGGATGATATGTGACTTGCTTGGATTTGTTATTTATTTTTTTTCAGACACAAGTGATGTACAAATGGATAGAGCCGAAAATCTGCAGGGAGGATCTCACAGATGCTATCAGGCTGCCCCCTTCTGGAGAGAAGAAGGATTGCCCACCTTGTAACCCAGGATTTTATAACAATGGATCTTCCTCTTGCCATCCCTGCCCTCCTGGGACATTTTCAGATGGAACAAAGGGTAGGATATCTATCACGAATTGAACCTTTAGGAAAATAATCTTGATAGACTTATGATCTTATTCTGAAATGGTTTCTGGAAGTCTTTAGATGACAGTTTTCTTATTGAGGCTGAAGAAGGGTTGAGAAGTACATTAATAGAATTGTGAGACCATGGTGACTTAGGAGAATTGTTTTATTGCCATTTTTATGACCTTCTCTTTAAAAAGTATTTTTATTTATCTTTAAAAAATTTCCCTCTGTTAATGGGATAAATATTGACAATAAAATTTTACTATATATGTGTTTAAGGATAATCATTCCTTTTCCTGTGTGTGTGTGTGTGTGTGTGTGTGTGTGTGTGTGTGTGTAGGCACATAGTACAAAGCAATATGTGAACAAAACACCAAATACGTACATATGCATCTGCACTATGTCCAGAAAAAAATTCCAGATTGCTTTTGAAAAGGTTATTTATTTGTAAGGAACTTGATGTGACATCTCTCCCTCCTACTTCCCTCTTTGTTGATTATAGTTTGAGGTGCTTGGAACAAGAGAAGCTATCCAGATGCAGTTTAATTCTAACTGTTTACTCATCTCCTGTAGAATGCAGGCCATGTCCAGCAGGAACTGAGCCAGCACTTGGGTTTGAATATAAATGGTGGAATGTCCTTCCTGGCAACATGAAAACTTCCTGCTTCAATGTTGGGAATTCCAAATGTGACGGAATGAATGGTGAGTTTAGAGTCTGCCTTCTCATTTGTTTTGTCTGCACAGATACTATTTGTTTCCACACTTACTAGATATGATTATGAGAACTTTTATTCTTATTTGGCTGTGTGTCCATTCTCCAGCCCTTACATAAAAATCAGGCAAATAGTCAGATGACTTTTCTAAAACTAAACTACAGTAGTTCTCCCTTCTATGGCTTCATGTCCTAAGACCATCTGAAAATATCAAATAGAAACTTTCAGAAATAAATACTTTAAAAGTTTTAAATGGTGTACCCTTGGAAGTAGCTGATAAAATCTCATGTCATTTTATTCTGCCCCCGCCCCCCACACCAGGATGTGAATTATCCCTTTGGCTGTATCTGCTTCCTGTCCATTAGTGACTTGGTAGTCATCTTGGTTTTCAGACCTACTGTTCAGGTTTCACAGTGCCTATGTTCAAACAACTCTCTTAATAATAATCTCAAACCACAAGAAACATGCCAAAGAGAATCCATAAAGTCCCCCTCTCCTCTTCTCCCCTCCTCCCTTCCACCCTGTCACCTGAAAATGTGAAAGTTCTCAATTTAGTAAGGAGAGAGCATAAATTGTATGCTGAAGTTGGCAAGAACTGTGGTAAGAAAAAAAGCTTTTAACTGTTAAATTGTACAGACAGAGCAGTGCTTCTGTGCTAGCTTTGTTACCACACCTGAAATCTCAGACATTCCCATGGCAGAATGTGATAAGTTCTATGACATAGAGGCATTAAATAGTAGGGCTTGGTGGGGTCTTAGAACTAATTTCCTGAGGAGAGATGTGTGTGTGTGTGTGTGTGTGTGTGTGTGTGTGTGTGTGTTAATTTACTAGTACAGATTATCTGGAGCTTTTACTTGATAGTATAGAAGAGAGTCTAACTCTCTCAGCAGTATTTAGTTAGTTACTTGCCTATGAATTTACTTATAGGCAATATTTTAAATTTATGCTAATTCAGAATCATTCGATTACTTTTAAAAGTATAAAGTTCTGCTCTGGTATCTTGTGACATTGAAATAGCAATCAGTAAAGTTAAAAAAAATACACAGAAAGTGGTATATGTTTTTGTGACTAAGTGACTCAGTGGCAGCCTTGTGAGCCAGCCTGGGAGAGCCAGAGGCAGCAGCCAGCCAATGCATCGTGTCCGCCAAGGACAACGTGGGCCAGGGATATATGGAGAGGCTTCAAACTAAACTGGATGAACCTTTGGGATGCTGAGACAGGGAAGATACTCTGGGAAGGACTAGAAGACCTGTCTGTCCCTGGTGAGGAGCATGAAGCCCACGTGCCCAAGAAAATCCTCAAGTGCAAGACAGTGTCTTGAGAATTGAGCTTTTCTTCAGGAGAGCAAATGGAAAAATTCCATCTGGAACAAAAAGTTTACTTCAAAGGCCAATGCCTAGAAGAGTGGTTCTTCAAGTTTGGCTTCACCTTCATAGCATCACGCAATGGCCTATGAAGGCCTTTTGGCCTGTCAGGGCTTTCTTTGTCCAGGGATGTTCCTGCTGCACTCTGCCTGGCCTGGGTGGCTCTCTGAAACATCAGAGGAAGAACTGATGACCCCTTCACTCTTGCATCTTTTGTGTGTCTAAAGCCAGCACCAGGTGAATGACATTGCCAAGATTGGCTACAAGTTTAAGATGGCCCTGGCCTGCTTTGGCCACTTTTGAAACTTTTCTCTGCAGGGGTTTTCTAGGAGTAGAAAACCCCAGCATTTTCCTTACACAAGTTGGAGGCTTAGCTGGGTGTGGTCTTGCTCTGAAGGTACATTGTTTGATTGAAAATCTCTAGGCCTCTTCTTAATCACATTAAATTCTTTATCAAAGGGATCCTCTCTTTTAGCATGTGCCTTGGCCCCAACATTAATCTTCCTAGTGCTCTTTTTCAATCACTGTGTGTTCTGCATTTCTTTCTGCCCCATTTGCTCCTTTTCACTGTGGATCTGCATAATAGCCACCATTAATAGCTATGCCATCATCTCTACATTAAGCTGCTTTGAAATAGCCCCTGCCAAAGAAATTAGTTAATTGCTTTTCAACTTAGCCTCAGGTAAGCTCTTAGGCTGTGGGCAGACAGCAGCCAAACCCTTTGCTAAAATAGCCCAGTTGCTGTTTAAGTCCTTATTTCTCAAGTAAACTCTTCCTCTTATAAGTTCCTTTGGTCATGGTGTTTCTATCACAGCAACAGAAAAGTGACTAATACACAAGGCATTCTGTATTTTTTAATCAGGACAAACAAAACAGTTGAGAGAAAGTGGTTAATTCGTAACTGGGCAATATTTAAACATGGGAAATGTTGGTCTCTACTCGCAAGCGTAGGGATCCTCTCCACACAATCCACTTCCTACTTTCTTTTCTTTGACCTTCTCTCATATTCTGTCCTTGTTTATGGCAATAAGAAGAGGTGTTGCAGGGCTGGAGAGTTGGATCAGTGGTTAAGATCACTGACTGCTCTTGAAGAGGACCTGGGTTCAATTCTCAGCACCCACATGTCAGCTATGAACCATCCTTAACTCCAGTTCCAGGGGAATCCGAAGCCCTCTTCTGACCTCTGCGACATTGCACAACACAGGTGGACTCACGTACATGCAGGCAATACACTCGTACACATAAAATAAAAATAATAAATAAAATATTTAAAAAAAAGAAGAGGTGTTTTTAGAGATTCCTTTATCTTAGCATAGACTTGTTTTCTGTGGGGGTATCTTGGTCCCTCTTTACCCTTATCACAAGTCTACTGTCTAAACCTAAATTCTTTCCCTGTTATCTATACTATCTTCCTACTGGGCCTCATGGTTTCATGGTTATTCAACTCTTAGCATTAGGAGTTGAAAACTGCTTCCTCTGTTTCAGTGACAGGAGCCTTTAGATTGCAAAGTTATCAACATTTCTCTTATAAATAGATGACTATATATTATTTTTGTGACTAGTTTGCTTGGTATGTATTCAGCATGTTACCTTTCTATAAACCGTTGATTATTGTATTTAAAAAATTGGCAGCCACCAACCTAGAACCGATAGAACCATTTATTATATCTCTTGAAGTAGCCGATAACAACATTTTCCTTTGGAGACATATTAATTCTAAGGTTTTGCCCTATCTAATCAAGCTTGCTTGATGTGTTGTGGACATGTCTCCTTTACTTATCTTAAAGTGGTTATCTTGGTTTATGGTATTTGTTGTTTCTATGCCAGGGACAGACCTCATGCAACTTCCTGTGCACAGACCTATCATCTACTTCATACTGTTAGACACTTGCTAACATGTGCCTGTCTCATATTTTTTCTCCTCAGGGAGAGAGATTATCTCCTATCCCATGCATGCATAGTTATTGGTACTCAGTAAAAGTTAATGAATGCATAATGGATTAGGTTATGGAACAACAACACAGCAAACTGAAAAAGAACTCCAGACTCCAAATCTTCATTAAGTAATTTGAAGTTTGACTTTTTTCTAATGTTTGTCAGCAGAATGTGATTTTGCATTTCAATGGAAATGGATAGAGACTCAACTAGTTCAGCTGAAAAGTTATGCTTCATTAAGAAAACTTCTCACTTCTCACATTAAATAACATTTATGCAAAATATATAGTCACAGTGTCTTTATTGATGCCTAGAAGTTTACCTTTACATCCAGTCTACAATAGTTATTTTAAAATAGGGGATTTTTGACTGGGCATGGTGGCTAGCCTGGTCTGCATAGAGAATTCCAGGCCAACTGGGGCAACAGGGAGCCCCTGTCTCAAAAATAAAATAAAATGAAGTCGAGGATCCTTTTTGTAGTACTTCTAACTTTTAATGAAAATACTTGTTTGCCTTTTTATTGTTACCTTATTTTACAATACCTTTTTGTAATTCACTGATGACATTTTTACTGGTAGAATGTTCTTTTGTCATTTTCAGGTTGGGAGGTAGCTGGAGATCATATCCAGAGTGGAGCTGGAGGTTCTGATAATGATTATCTGATCTTAAACTTGCATATTCCAGGATTTAGGTGAGGGAAACCAGTTCTGATTCCTTTTTTAAAGAATCTTCATGCAGTTACAGAAGTATGGGAAGTAGGATGGACCCTAAATGTGTTCTGTTGCCAAGTAAATAACAGTATGTTAGAGAGTAACGTATGATATTTAGAAATAGTCATGGAATCAGTGGCTGAGAAACTGTAAATGCTACTTATATGTTTTTTAGATAAAGCTGAAAAGTTTTTAACAGCATTATACACAAAGCTTTAATAACCATAATTTTTTGACACTAAATCACGAGGACTTAAGTAGTGTGCAGGCATACTTTTGCTGTTTATATATCTGTTATTTTCTTAATTCTGTTTGTAAAGTAATAACTTATAGTTATTCTCTTTTTGCTTTAACCCCCTATACTGAGGTTTCCCAGTAGGAGTCTGTTCCTTGCTTTAGGAGTATCATGGCATTCACAGCAGGAGAATCAAGTATATCACCATGGCATAGAGCAGGGGTGTGGACATGCACAGATGAGTGAGGAAGGAGCTGAGCTTCCCGGGGAAGCAGGAAATTAGGGGAAAAGAGAGAAAAGCACGATTTTCAGCTTAATACGAAATGTGGTTTAATTTTATTTCAAATCATATTCAGAATGTACTATTGATATTGAAATTTTGATCTGTCGTGTAGACCACCAATGTCTATGACTGGAGCCACGGGTTCCGAACTAGGAAGAATAACATTTGTCTTTGAGACTCTCTGTTCAGCTGACTGTGTTCTGTACTTCATGGTGGTAAGTGGAAAAACGATGATCTGAAGGCAAATTTCAAAGCTGATCATTCTCTTTCAAGTGTGAGTTTACTTTGAAAGTTAGGTTAAGAACCATTTTCTTGCCTGTCTTAGAGCTTTCTGAAGACATTTTTAAATGTCTAAGGAAATCACTAAGAATTGTGCAATAAGGCTCACCATGTGTTCATTCTTTGTGGTACGGGGTCCCATGTGGCTGATAGAGACTACATTAATTTGTAAAAGAATTATTTCATAAAATATCAAACCTGCAAATGAAAAGCTTTCCCTAATAACTAAATGTTCAGCAATTTAAAATATCAGACAGGGTAGGAAATAATGGGTGAAGGTAGATACACTGGGAAGAAAGAAAACTTGTTTATTTAAAATGCTTAGACAAAAGAATTTACAATGCTCATGTCAAAAGTTTGCCCAGTTATTTTTAGGTATGATTTGAATTTCAATTCCTGAGAAAAGTAAGAATTCAAAGTTGATCAAGATCTTATATGGGTTATAGAAGACTGTTGGCTGAAATTTTAAAATTTTATTTAAATAGTGACTTTGTAGTATTGTTTGGTTTATTTTGTGTTTGCTTCTCCTGAACTTTTAGTCTAGTAAACAAAGATGTCTATGATACCCAAGGTGTGAAGATGTATGAACATTTTTAAAAATTTATTTGTATTTTTATTTTATGCATATGAGTGCTGTATCTGCATGTATGTAAATGTACCCATGTCATGCAGCACCCTTGGAGGACACAAGAGGGCACTGAATCCCCTGGAATTGGAATTATAGACAGTTGTTAGCAGCTATGTTGGTTCTGGGATTCAAATTCGGGTCCTCCATAAGAGCACCCAGTGCTCTTAACCTCCGAGCCATCATTCCAGCCCCTATAATCATTTTATTTGTGAATGCTGGCAGCTGAAAAATAGGTTATTTTGTTCATGGTCATTTGTACTTCTTTTGAGAACCATGGTTGGAAGATTTGCTTTTGATGTTTAATATTTAAAGTTCTTTATATATTCTAGTTATTAATTCCCTATCTGATGTAGAGCTTGTATAGATTTTTCTTCCATTCTGTAGGCTGTCTCTCTGCAGATAATTTCCTTTACCATGCAGAAAAATTTTAATTTCATGAAGTCCTGTTTGTTAATTCTTGGAGCTATTTCCTGTGCTAATGGAGTTCAGAAAGTTCTTATAAGATACTTATATCTTGAGGTATATGTCCTAGAAGTTTTAGCATTTCAGATTAAGGTCATTGATCCATTTTGAACTGTTTTTGAGCTGGGTAAGAGTTACAGATGCATCTTCATTCTTCCACAGATGGAAATCCATTCATGCACACTATCTGTTCAGCAGGCTGTTTTTTTCCAGTGTATGTTCTTGACACATTTGTCAAACAATTATGTGGCGATAGTTGTGGGGTCTCCACATATCTGCTTGTACTGTCTTTGTCACTGTGGCTTTGTATTATAATTTGAAGTCAGGTATCATGATACTTCCAGAAGTGTTTTTTCTGCTCAGGATTGCTTTGGATATTAATGATCTTTTGTATCTCCATTTGAATTTTTGGATTGTTTTTTTTTTCTAGATCTATGTAGAGTGTCATCTGAATTTTGATGAAGATTGCATTGAATTTGTATATTAATTTTGATAGTCAAGCCTTTTTTCATAATATTAACTTTCCTAACCCAGGAGCATAGAAGATCATTCTATCATCTAGCATTTTTCTTTATTTCTTTTTTTCAGTGACTTGAAATTTTCATCGTCAAGAATTTCACTTCCTTGATTAGGTATATTCCTAATATTATTTTGAATGGAATTATTTTTCCTAATTTCTTTCTCAGTAAGTTCATTATTGGTATATAGGAAAATTATTGATTTTTGTATGTTGTTCTTGTATCATGAAACTTTATGTGAAGTGTTTATTAACTCTAAGGAATTTCTGGTATAAACTGAAGGGTCTTTTAAGTATAGAATTATGTTATCTGCAAAAAGGGACAATTTGACATCTCCTTTTCCAATTTTTATCGCTTTTGTACATTGATCCTGTGTTATTGCTCTAGATAAGACTTTGAGCACTATACTGACTGAGAGTAAAAAGAATAGGCACCCTTGTCTCAGTCCAGAGTTTAGAGGAAATTGTCTCAGTTTTTCTGTCTAGTATAATATTGGCTTATCATATATAGCATTTTTATTTTGTGGACTGTTCCTTCTGTTCCTAAGTTCTCCAGGACATTTTTCATGAAGGCACACTGAATTTTGAAACATGCTTTTTCTGCATCTATTGAGATGATCATGTGATTTCTGTCCTTAAGATAATGTCATGTGTTATGTTTATCTGTTTGCATGTGCTCAACCAAACTTGCATCCCTCAGATGAAGCCCATGTGGTTATGATGTAAGATCTTCATATATTTTGGATTCAGTTTGCATGTATTTTGTTGAGAATTTTTGCATTTATGTTTGTCCAGGAAATCTGTCTGTAGTTTCCTTTGTGTGTGTGTGTCTTTATCTAGTTTTGATAATAGGCTAATACTGAATTCATAGAATAAATTCGGTAGATTTTCTTCCCTTTCTATTTTATGAATTGTTTGAGAGGTGTTAGCATTAGATTTTCCTGAAAAGTTTAATAGAATTCAACAGTGTATTTATCTGTCATGGACTTTTCTTTGTGGGAGACTTTTAATTATAGCTTCAATCCCCTTGCATATAATGTCTGTTGCTATTTTTATATATTGTGTCTTTAATTTTGGTAGGTGATAATGCATTTAGAAATTAGTCCATTTTTCTAGGTTTTCCAACTTTTTGGAATATAAGTTTTCAAAATGTTCTCTAACGATCTTCTGGGTTTCATTAGGGTCTTTGGTACCAACTCCCTTGTCTCTCATTTTATGAACTTGAGTCTTCTCTCTTTTGTTTGTTTGACAATCTTGGTAATATTTTCAAACTTCTTACTCCATGTTTGACTGATTCTATAAATTGTTATTTTGGTCTCTACCTCATTAATTTCTTTGAGCAGAAACTTTAAAAAAGTTCTAATTTAATTTTTTGAGAATTTCATATATAAGTACTCTACATAATTTTCATCTTTCCCTCTCCCCTTCTAACTCCTCCCACCCCCCTCTCCTTTTTAATTTCTTCACCTCTTCTTTAATTATTATTGCTTCATACACATACATATACACACAGCACACACATATAAAACCTACTGAGTCCATTTAGTGATGCTAATATGTAAATGTGTTTAGGGCTGATTACTTGGGACTGGATCTTATCCCTGGAGACAACTGATTGTCTCTTTCTGAGAAGCCACTGATTTGAGCAATGATTTTTTTTTTTCTAATGGGCATGCCTTTATTCATCCAGGGCAGGGACAGAAGTAGGTCTTTCATTATTTTTACATTGTTAATTTTGTACTGTTTAATTTTATAACTAAATAACAATTTATAGTATCCAAATCATTTAATCTAACTTGATTTAATAGTCAAGTACCATAATGGGTGGACAGAAGAAGAGAGAAGGCTAAGATAATGCTTTGTTGAAAAGTAAAGATTTTTTTCCCTTCATTGAGAACCTTACACACACACTAAAGCAAAGCAGAGAGGAAACTGTCTACAGTCCAAACACCCAGAGCAGAAGTTTCAGCATTAGGGAGCTTGTGCCTGCTTTTTTTCTGAATTTATGTTACTGATTTGCAAATGTTTATGGGTATATGGTATTTAACATAAATGGCAACTTTCCATGCATTTATTAATTATTTGTAGACCTTACTTAAGTGGCTGCATAATATTGCATTAAGCACATGACATACTAAAGGCATTAGATTGTTTTGGAGCACTGATTCTTAAAATACAGTCCCTGGGCTAGCAGCACCAGCATCATTTGGTGCTGTGCTGGAAATGCAAATTTTGGGGCCCAATCCTAATCTTACTGAATACAGAACTTTGTGGATGGGACATAGCAATATACATTTTAGCAAACCTTGAGAGTAGCTCTGGTGCATGTTAAAGTCTGGGAATTAGTGGCCTACAGCTGTACCTCATGCTCCCTTAGCATGGTATTACTATGGTTTTCCTAGCCTCTGCTAGCATATATACTTTGTCTATGCCCATGGAACTTTTTTTCTCCCTGAATTTGTTGTGTATGTGGGACACTCTGCCTTTTGCATTTCCATGCTATAACATCTAAGCTAGCACATTCTCCCACTTAGTCTTTTGACTGGTAACTCCCATTTGTACTTGAAGGGCAGCTCAAACCTCACTTTTGGGGGGAAGCTTTCTTTTATTTCTTTCTGTTTTTTCTTCTGGTCTTTTTGAGACAGGGTCTCCCTGTAGCCCCAGCTGACCTGGAACTCACTACAGAGACCAAGCTGGCCTCGAAGTCACAGAGATCCACCAGTCTCTGCCTCCCAAGTGTTGGGATTAAAGGCATGCACCACCACAAAACATTCTCTGACTTGAGATTTCTTTCAAAATTTGTTGATAACCTGTTTATGCAGGCTTACAGGGACTTTTGAGAGTTGTACAATTATGAAATATAGTGTGCAGCAGAGAAAGTCATGGATCCTATATGGCTTTCTCCAAACAAAAGCACTTTTTTTGGTAATGGATACACATTTTTATTAATACCAAGTTTATGCTTTATTTGCAAATATTTCCCCACTGTTTTAGGATATTAATAGGAAAAGTACCAATGTGGTAGAATCATGGGGAGGAACCAAAGAAAAGCAAGCATATACCCACATCATCTTCAAGAATGCAACATTTACATTTACATGGGCATTCCAGAGAACAAATCAAGGCCAAGATGTAAGTTCCAACCATTTTATTATTTTTTCCCTGTGTTTTATTTTGTATAATCTCTACTTAGGGCACACTGGCCTCTACTGGGAACACTTAAGAGCTCTATACAGGATCACATGGTCTTATGAGCTCTGCAAAAGCATTGTATACTCTGTATAAGTCAGTGTGAGCTCTGTTGAGATCATCATGAACTGTATTCGAGTGAGATGTTCTCCATGCAAATGCATACAGGGCATATAAATCTGTAAAGGAGCACCACAAACTTTTTATAAGTGTGCTGTGACCTCTGAACTTGCATTGTGAGCTCCATACAGGGCATTATGAGCTCTATACAAGGAAACATGAGGTAAGTGTATGAAAATACTACATCCATTCAGAGCATTCTAACCTGTACATAGGATGCTATGAATTCTGTACAGGAAATGATGAACTGTAAAGGTAAATGAGATATGCACAGAGCATTATGCCTCCTATATAAGGCAGTATGATATCATAGTTTTATTTCTTTAAAAACTCAAATATGAGGCTCCTCTGTGGAGGTATATACAAGCTATCACTCAAATTGGAGGAAAATTTTTTGTTGTTGTTGCAGTCCATCACCCTGTTATGTACTGTATTTCTATAAAATGATAATTTTTCATTTTTTGATAGCAAGAGTATATGAAATGAATGGAATGACAATAAATCTATGACTTATTTTCATCTTTGAGAAAATACAATTACTGAAACTTTAGAGAAAATTCAGTTCTTCCATTATTAAAAACTTGTCTTTAAAGCTTTTTGTTTATAACTTTATTCTTCTTCATTCAACCCATCTAATATTTGTCTAAAATCCACTAACTGGTGCAGTTTTGTTTTTTTCATTATGATAGTTAGTGTCTCCTTTTATAGAATGTATATATAGGAGTACATCATTAATAGAAACAGAGTAATTTTCTTTCTTTCATTTTCATTGCTGGAGTAGAACTAATCCTCCTCTAAGTAACTTCTACTTTGTATTTCAATAGTAGACCTATTATTTATTTATTTATTATTTTTGGAGTGTGTGTGTGTTTGTGTGTATGTATGTGTGGTATATTCATGTTTGTGCATGTGTATGTATACATATGTGGTGTAGGCACCATGTGCATATGTGCACGTGTGTGTGTTTGTGTATGTGTATAGGCAGAAGTCAACACTGTGTGTCTTCTATCACTATCCACATTATTTTTTGTCAGAGTGTCTCACAGAACCTAGAGCTATGTACTAAGTGCTTTGGGGGTGAGCAGCACAGAGTCAACACATGGACACCGAGAGTCGGGTGGAAGCAGGCACTAGGCGAGGTGCTGCAGACTCATTTATTGCTGGGAAGGGCAGGCCTTATATATCTCTCACCCTGCCCCCAGTGTCCCATAAGCTGGTGTGTCGCTCCCTGATAGATCCCCTCATCCAGGCCACTTGCGTCATCAGTCTCTAGGTCCGGAGCAGATTATAGGTTGGCTCTTTTGCGGAAGTGCAGCCTGTGCTTTCAAGGCGGAAGCTGTGCTTCCTAGTGCGGCCTGTGCTTAGGTCTGGCTCTTCACCTCCTACACTTTGACTAAACTGACAAGCCAGAGAACCCCAGGATCACTTGTCTCTGTGCTACCCCTGCCCAGTCCCTCAGCCCTGGGGCTACAGGCCTGCAGTACCACACTGACTTTTATGTGAGTGCTGGAGAGCTGAACTCAGGTCCTAATGCTTGCACTCAGGTCCTGATGCAGCAAGAACTTTACAACTGAGCCATCTTCCAGCTCCAAGCCTGTTATTGTTTGTGAATTTACACAGATGTGACCTTATCAAGGTGAGAACAAGATGAAGTGCATTTTTTCTTTTTAGATTTTTAGTGGGAGCCCAGTCCCCACACTTTACTTGACTTCAACTGTTCTTCAGGAGGATTCATATTATAATTATGTGAGGATGAGCACATGATAAAATCTACCTCCTCCTTATCTTCCTTTCATGTGTGCCCAGAAGAAAAGAATTAAGTAATTAGGTGTAGCACAGTGTGAACAAACCAGAGCCTTAATGGACCCATTGTCATAACAGTGGAAAATGTGGCAAGATTCAGGATCTTGCTTCCTGTTTGACATATCTTTGTTAGAAATCAGAATATGTTGTTTAGGGGAAGGACTAGGAAAGAAAAGGAAGACTCAGAGAAGTGGTCTGAGTCTATCAATATTATTATGGAGTGTTTGAATGAGATGAGGTTCTTGTTTCTCAAGATATTCTGCCTTGCCATATTGCCAACATCCTAATGTATCATTAGATTTAAAATATGTTTAAATGAACAAAAATGGGAGGTGAAGTTATGCTGCAGTTCTTCCAGATGCAGTCTATAAGTGTGCTATGCCAGTTATGACATATATCTAATTTCAACTGTGGCAAAACATCTAGAATTCCATTACTGTGGAAATCAGCTCCTAACTCCTTGACTACTGCGTGTGTGTGTGTGTGTGTGTGTGTGTGTGTGTGTGTGTTTTAGAAAGAACCAAATGGGAGTGACATTAATCCATTGTCAATTCGAAGCTTTTAGGCTGGAATAGTCTGTTTAATTATTTTGGTAAAGTCAACATAAACCTTATTGTAACAATAACCTTATTGTACAGCTGAGCTCCACAGCAGATGTCATTTCTCTCTGATCTCTTTCTAGAACAGACGTTTCATCAATGATGTGGTGAAAATTTATTCTATCACAGCCACTAATGCAGTTGATGGGGTGGCTTCTTCATGTCGTGCCTGTGCCCTTGGTTCCGAACAGTCAGGCTCGTCATGTGTTCCCTGCCCCCCAGGTCACTATATTGAGAAGGAAACCAACCAGTGCAAGGAGTGCCCAGCTGACACGTACCTGTCCATCCATCAGGTCTACGGGAAGGAGGCTTGCATTCCCTGTGGGCCTGGAAGTAAAAACACTCAGGTAAGTGGATCTGCATTGCAGTTATCCCCAAAGCCAGTCATAGAGAAACTCAAGGATTTCCCCTTACTGTTTCTCTATGAGATATGGAGTTGTTGCTTACTCTGGAAGAAAGCTTTTTAATTCTCTTTCTTATTTTTCCTTTTTTGAGACTAAGTGAGCATTCAGTATGTGCCATGAAAGTGCTAGCTACTAGCGACATAAAATATGAGGAAAACTGCTTAAATAAGAATGTTTTCCAAAAGTATTAAAAGTAATTTCTTGTGCACTGTCAAGAGACAGCAAGTAAACTGCTTTTATAAGCTGGGTATGGGCATTTTATGGAAAGCAGCAAGTATGTCTTACAATATTTTAAGTGTGAAAAGTAATACTACATGATGGATGAAGGAGAAAAAGTTTTATCGTCTGCACAAACTAGCCTCGCAGGAAATTTTTACTATTTCTTAAGAATGCCATCCCATAATAAATTTGAGAAGATTTCACTGATTAGAGAAAAATCATGACTTAGGGCTGGAGAGATGGCTCAGTGGTTAAAGTTCGGTTCCTAGCACCCACACAGCAGCTAACAACTGTCTGTAACTCCAGTTCAGGGGATCCAATGCCCTCTTCTGACCTCTGTGGGCATTGTACAACATTGATGCATATACATGCATGCACATAAAATAGAAATACTAAAAATAAAATGTTAAAAAATTATGACTTTCCCAAACTTTCTTAGAGAAGTCTACAGGTTGGAAATCCTCTATATTAATGTTATAAAATATAACTAAGCAAAAATTACTGAGAAATTTATACTTAGAACTTTTTTCATAGCAGTTAATACCTTCTTTCATGCAATATTGTTTGTTTCTTCATCTTTCAGGACCACTCAGTTTGCTACAGTGATTGCTTTTTCTACCATGAAAAAGAAAATCAGAGTTTACATTATGACTTCAGCAACCTCAGTAGTGTGGGCTCATTATTGAATGGCCCCAGCTTCACCTCCAAAGGAACAAAATACTTCCATTTCTTCAATATCAGTTTATGTGGGCATGAGGTGAGATCTGGCTATCAGGGTGAGATGGAGCTGTAATCCAGTTCCAAGGTGTGTTTTGTGTTTAATAACCAGCAATATCTCTATGAGAATTAACAGCTGATGTTAGGAATGGAGCTTTCTTTAAACCCTCTGTTGCTTTCTGCCATGTTGACAGCTTTTTCTACCAGGGCATCCTCACCTGGTTCTTAGTCAAGAAGATAATCCAATCATATGAACTCCAAGTCTTAGAGCAATGGCTTGAGTGCATTGAGTCCCTCCCTCCCTTCTGCCTTCCTTCCCTTAAAAGTGGGAAGGGATACAAGTAGTAAAGCTTACAGATCTCACCATTTAAAAAATTTAGGCAGGCAGTTATGGTTGAAAATCTTTATTGTTGCTTACTGTATTAGTTAAAATTTCTTGAGATAGAAAATAATACACACATATGAGAGGGATTTATTAGAGGAGTGGATGCATATAATTATGGGGTCCCTGTAAGCCAGACACCCTATTGGGATACCAGTAACATGGCTCAGCCCAAGTCCAAAAGTCCTAGAACAGAAAGAAGCTGGAGACTGAGAACCTGGGGGCTGTTGGTACAAGTCCTGGAGTCCCAGTGTCAGAGATCCTGAAGTTCTAATGGCCCTGGCAGGAGAGTATGCCAGACTCTGGAAGGAAAAGGAAGTCTTTCTTCTGCCTATTTGTTCTATCTGGATCCAGCCAGTTGAATGGTGCCTGCGTATATTGAAGGCAAATCTTGTTATTGTTGTTATTGTTGAAGTTTTATTAGAAAATTAGAAAAGTTACAAAACAAGTATAAGTATTTACCAAGAACAATAATGGTATTATTTCATTCACCATATCCAAGAAATCGTGTCCTGTCATGTCCTGACCTGACTTTACAGGTGGCGATCTAACATACTCACTAGGCTGGTTGGTCATTCGTTCCACTCAACAAATGAATGCAGATTAAACAACTTTATATGAGAGAGAAAATGTGAAGCAATGAATGAGATTAATTCCATTTTCTACTGTATTATTCTGTTTTCTGTCTATATTACTGCCGTCTTTTCTGCCTTCTCTGGTCTTTAAGTCTTCATTCTCTCTCTGTTTCTCTTTTATTTCCTTTTGAGGGAAGTTTGATGTGTAGCACATTATGGCCTAGAACTCAGTATGCAGTCCAGGCTAGCCTCAAACTCATGGCAGTCCTCTTGCCTCAGTCTCCTGAGTCCTGGGATTATAGGCATGAACCATTCCCAACTTCCTTTTTATTCTCATTTGTTTTCTTTTAGCCTCTGTTCTTTTTTCTTTCTTTCCCGAGCACTTCTTCTCAGCTAGTTCCATTATTTTTGGCATTAACAATTTTGTTGAAACTGTAAAAATATATTGCCCCCTGTATTGTGATGAGAAGGCTTGGTGGAGGGAGAAAAATTTTATAAATTAGAAATGCAAGTTGCATTAAGAAAGAGAAATATTTATGCTTCATGCCTAATAGTACATACTCTAAGGTAAATGAAATAGCTTTCCCACTTTTTAGAATTTCTTTGTAGAAATTAGGGAGCAAGCTATAGTTCTTTGTAGTGGGTCTACAGTATATTTAAACATATTATATAAATACAGCTAACATATAACTAACTCTCTTGAGTGGAAAAGTTAACCTCTTGTGTTCTCTCAGATTTATTTTGTAGGCAGATATGCATCATTGCATCTAAGAGTAGGTAACTTGCAATGATCAACTATTAGAGTTCAGATGTCCTAGGCTATGTAGCAATGTGGCTTTGGCCCCTCTTCAGATTTCACATCACCTTTCTGCCACACTTATGAAGGAGACGGGAAAGCGAGTTTTTTTCCTTAGAATCCAAACCTTCATCAGCAGTTTGCGGTTTCTCTGTTTGCCTTTTTAAACTATGAAGTGAACATTTCTTAGGTGACTTTTATTGCCTGGAGTTATATGACTTTCATTCAAAACAAATGATGTCTGTAGTGAGAGGATCAGTGTAAGGGGATAACTGCAGTGACTCCCAGCTCTGGTTAAACATTGGAGTTGCCTTGAGACTGATGCCTGAGTGTCACCCCAGAGCAATTATATCAGGATCTCTGTGCTGAGGAGAAAGCCCATTCTAATAGAGTGAGAAGCTCACTTGAGATTTAGGTTAAACACTGGCCCCCCATAAGCCTTTTATCTGTGATTTTGCTTTCCTAGGGAAGAAAGATGGCTCTCTGTACCAACAATATATCAGACTTTACAGTAAAGGAAATGGTGACAGGGTCAGATGATTACACAAATTTGATTGGAGCATTTGTATGCCAGTCAACTATTATTCCTTCTGAAAGTAAGGGCTTCCGAGCAGCCTTGTCATCCCAGTCTATCATTCTGGCAGATACTTTTTTAGGTAAGTTTCCTTTTAGGTAAGCATGTATTTATTTTAATATTATGGTAACAATACATTGCCATTGTATTATTGTTTAGCATAGATTATTAAGACCTGCAAGTTATTCTGTATTGCCATTTTGAAAATGGTTAAAGAGCCCACAAGAGTGGGATTTGTTGGTCAATCTCAGTACAAGAAGATTCTGAAAGTGTGTATCTATGTTCTAGTTTGTTTCTTCATTGCTGTGACAAAATATTCTGACCAATGGCAACTTGGGGAGGAAAGGGCTTATTCAGCTTACATCTCCTGCATCATAGTTCATCAGGGAGCCTAAGGTAGGAACTCAGGGCAGGAACCAGGAAGCAGAAGCTGGAGCAAAGGCCATGGAGGAATGCTGCTTACTGGCTTGCTCCCCTGGCCCCTGCTCAGCCTGCTTTCTTATGCAACACAGGCCCACCTGCCCAGGGATGGCATCCACAGGGGGCTGGGCCCTCCCACATCACTCAACAATCAAGAAGATGCCCCACAGACATGGCCACAGGCCAGTCCTATGGAGGAAATTTCTCAGTTGAGGTTCCCTCAAGCCAGGCATGTCAAGTTCACACTAAAGCTATCCAGCACAATCTACTTACATGTGATGTAGTTTTCTGAAGAATATGTGCCATTATTCAGATTCTTTAGGAGTTTAAGGGTAAAATAGTTTAAGGAATGCAAACAGGACTGAGAGATGGCTTTGTGTACATTGCTTGCCACACAAGCATGAGGATCTGAGATCAGATACCCAGCACCATTGTAAAAGCTGGGTGTGGAAGTACACGCTGTGACCCCAGTGTTAGCAGAGACAGGTAGATCCCTGAGGTTTGCTCGACAGCTAGTCCAGCTGGGTTCACTGAGAGACCCTGTTTCAAAAAACAAAATAGAGAAAAAAGGATACCTGAAGTTAGTCTCTGGCCTCTACATGCATGCACATGGATGAACATACCCACACGGATGCACACCCTCCCCAACAATAAAAAATTCTTTATAAGAAAGAAAGTAAAAAGCAAAGTAAGAATAGCAAGCACACACAATCTAAATTTAGGCCATAGTGTATAATACCGTGTTTCATTGCCTATTCTTATGCCAAAAGTAAGCTGATAGCAAAGGTGAGGAACTGTTCTTATATGTTCCTTCTGTCTGAGGTCCTGACAGACAGGAAAATTTTAAGAGGAATTCAGTTCCCTGGTGATTCTTAGGAATCATGTTCATTGGAACTGCTGGAAGGGGGTTAGGAACCTGTGGTTTTAACAAGCCCCTTTGGTGACTGGTGATTTGGACGTGCTGCCCGATTTGAGAACGTCGTTGCAGACTCCAAATGAACTGAACTTCAAATTTCAGCACCAAGGTCAGTTACCAGATTTGCACACTATTTTAGAAGCAAAGCATACTATTACTGCCAGAGTTTCAGTTCCATCACTATTTTACCTAAAAGATACAGTGGAGGATTCAGGGGGGAGCCTCACTTTTCTGCTTAAGCAAATTTTGGGATTTGTTTCTGGAAAATATTAGGGCTCTCCGCCCCCTTTTTTCTCAGGGGATGGGGTGATGTGTAGCATGGCTTCACTGTATAGCTCAGGCTGTCTTGAGTTTAAAAGATTTTCCCTCAGGCTGTAGAGTAGCTTGCACACACAACGGAATTAGCTTGTCACATATTTTTTATTTGTGACATGAACATTTCTATACTGAATGTGAGCCTGTCTTGATTGCCAAAACTCAGCAGAAGATAATAATTTTAATAGGAATAAATTTTTGAAATATTAGAACCAGAAGGTTAGAAACTACCTAAATCACTGTGTGAATCTTACAGATTCTAGAAAAAATGACCAGAGTGGTGAAATGACTTAAGCTAAATTACAAAGTTAGGCATTAGAATCTTTTATTCTGGAGACATTGAAAAGTTTATTTTTATCAGAAATGTCTTAATTTAACATAATGTTTCTGGTAGAATGACAGTTGTCAAAATAAAGCTTTTTTTACTGAGATATACAGAGGCTAAATAAATCTACTTTTCTCATATTGCTTAATAGTTTCCTTTCCAATGTCATTTAGGAGTCACAGTTGAAACTACCTTGCAAAACATTAATATCAAAGAAGATATGTTCTCAGTTTCACCAAGCCAAATACCAGATGTTCATTTCTTTTATAAGTAAGTAAAGATACTTCCTGTGACTACTTTTTAAATAAAAAAACTCGTATATAAATCTGTGGATTGTCCCCTATTTTGAATTGAATTTTTGTCCATTTCATATAATACATGTTAATCATATTTAGACTCCCCTCCCCTATCTGCACCCCCATACCCCCCCACCAGATTTCATGCATTTTGTCATATATGTTAAGGCCTATATGTCAAGTTTGTGTCCCTGGATGTCCCATCCACTGGAATCTGGTCAACCTACCTAGCATCACTCCCTTAAAGAAGATCAACATTTCTCATTCTGGATTATAAATTCCTACTGCAAGAAAGAGGTGCAGTGTCACTTCGGGTTGCTTTTTGGGGAAGCTTGTACTTAATAAGTAAATGAAATTTGGACATTACACTAATTAGTAAAAGTAAGAAACATGGAATGTTTTGAGAGTCATATAATTTCTGTCATATACATATATTCTTTGAAATTAGGCAATTATAGGACTTTAGTTCATTGCTAAGCAGTAATTATTCATACATCAAAACATCTTCCTAAGTAGAAATGACCCCTCCTTCCTTTGAAAAGGTTTTATTATAATTGTGCTAAAAATTATAGCAATTTTATTAAATGCCTTGATAATAGCTCATCATTGCACCTTGGGAGATTGTCAACTTTCAAAGTCAGTAAGCTGAATTTATGTTAAATTCCAAATTATTAAATTTTAACACATTTTTTTCTTTTCATTTGTTCATGGAGCATGAGAGCCATTCTGTATATGATGTTTTGTCTTTTTTAATCTGTATGAAGTCTGTAGTATATCTGATCTTTGACAGAGTACTTGCTTTATAACAGGTCTTCCACAACTACAACATCTTGTATTAATGGCCGATCAACTGCTGTGAAAATGAGGTGTAATCCTACGAAACCTGGTGCAGGTGTGATTTCAGTCCCCAGGTATTCTTTTTTCCCCCTATGGGATTATTGTACATTTGAACTTATTCTTAGATGCAAAAACACCTGGACTTTACTCTTAAAAACATATTCTTTATGGAAATAAAGCATAAAGAGAACAAAAGAATCAGTGCGTTTGTTGTAGGGATATGCCAGGGCACACTTACTAGGAGTCAATCTCGTCTACTCCCAGCCTTCCTAATGACATCATTTTGTCCCTTTTGCTTCCAGCGTCTTTCTGGAAAATGATTTAGGTAATAAAAAATTACAATGTTTGCATTTCTGTACTTATTCTCACTATTTGCTCTCAGTTTCCTTGAGAACTGGGTAGGAACTTTCCTGGTTCCTAGTACTAGATCAGCAATTAACTAGACTAAGTAATGCTACTTCCCTTTGAGTCATGACTCCTTTCTCTGTTAGGGGATGGGGCCAATGTAGAAACTGTTAAGAATCCATTTTTAAGCTCAGGTTTCAGAGAAACTGTAACAGAATCATCAGCAAGAAGTGGCCTGTAGAACATCATTGACCTGATTGACACTGAGGTACCAGCTCTCTATGGTCTATATTTTATGGATCCAGTTCGTTTTTGGTGAGAATACGAAAACAGCAATTTCCTGGCCTCCCAAAATGATTAATTTAGATGTTTTATTTTATTATTTTTAAATTTTATGTTTATGAGTGTATTGCCTGCATGTAAATAAGTGTACCCATGTCATACAGTGCCCATGGAAGTCAGAAAAGGGTGTCAGATTCCCCTAGAACTGGAGATACAGAAGGTTGTTAGCCACCATGTGGGTGCTGGGAACCAAACCCAGGTCCTCTGCAAGAGCAGCCAGTGCTCTTAATTGCTGAGCCATCTCTCTAGCCCCAGACAACTATTAATTTAAATATAATTTACTTTCATGCCATGAGGGACACTTAGGTATCCCATTATTTCCACAGACATTTGTCGTTTAGTATGTAAATGTTTCAACTCTTGTTAGGGTTAACCTAAGGATCATAGTTTGATTAGCATTCAAAACTATGTTTTTAATTTCTTTGTAATTCTACAATTAATGTGAGAAGTTTTAAACTCTCCTGCTTATGTTACATTTGGATTAGAAAATGCTGGTCTAAACCTTACACTGTTATGTGTTCTGACAACAATGGTGATACAATATTTCCTATTTATTTCGGGGAGAGAGGCACAGAGCATTTGCTTTTCACCAACTGCATCTTTAGTTTAGAGATCTCTACCGGTGAACTGTTCATTTCACTTGCTCAAGGTGAGAAGAGAGAAGAATGTGATGAGAGGCACACAGAGGAACAGGCAGCAGTTAGAGGAACAGGGAGAAGTGGATACTTTTGAGCTTCAGAGAACCCCGCTACTCCTCTCCCTGCCAGGGTCCACACAGCAATCTGATCTTTATGGGAAGATGTGTGCAAAGCTTACAGAAACAGAAATGTGTCTTTCATCATGATATTCTGAGTTCAAGTGCTCATTCTTCTTACTGCCACTCTCCTGAAGTCCTTTTCCAGACTTTTCAACTAACCTCTTTGGGCCTGACCTTTAGAGTCCACCTGGATGGCTCCTAAAGCCTCATCCAGTCTCTGCAGGATAATTCAAGCAGATGTTATCCTAAAGATCAGGTCTGACCTGCAGGAAATAATCATCTTCTGACTCTTCCAGGGTGAATTTTGATGCTTTAGCATAAATAAAACATACCCTCATGGGGTTAAAGGATGGCATCTGGAAGTCAAGTTTTCTCTCATGAAGAGAAAAAAATACCAAGTTTCTCTTTTGACCTCTGGCAATCTTTGCCACTTAGAGAACCTAACTGTCTTTCCCAGGGTTTCTCGGATCACCTGAAGCAGAATATCTTAGGATATCTATTTTAAAAATTGATTTATAAAATGTACAGAATATTAGAATATTGAGAATGGGACTATTTCTAAAAATATAAGCAACTGTGAAGCATATTAAAGTTGAGTGGCCATTTGCATTAACTAACATGTTACAGATTTCGCTTATTCTATTTTCCAAAAACATATTTTCTATTTAATATTTTGCAGCTTGGTTTTCTGAAAAGCTAATTATAATGTAGGATTAATGGCAGAGTCCTTCAGATCTTTATCTTGATAAAAGTGTATTTGTAGTTGTGATGCTCACTGAGGTATACATACAGTTGCTCTAGGGAGCTGCTGAGCCCCATAGTCTCTAAATGCTGACCTTCAGTTTTCTTTTAAATCAATTTCTTATCAGGACACAAGGGGGAGCTCAAGGATCAGAACAGGAAAAACAACAGCTTGCCCTCAAATGATGAGCTTCTCTCCCTCTCCCTCTTTCTTTCTTTCTTTCTTTCTTTCTTTCTTTCTTTCTTTCTTTCTTGTTGTAGGGATGAATAAAGATTTCCTATTAATAGGAAATTAATAGCCAAGTTTCTCAGGCTACTTGTGAAGAAGACTTATTTTGCTTTGGGTGGTGGTGGGAAGCCTTAAAATCTCCAAGGAAAAGAGATGTTAACCAGACACTTGGTCCTGAGATGCCTGTTGATGATCAAGAAATCTCTCCTTGAGTGAGAGCTTGGCAGTCTGTCACATCAGGAATCCTTCTTCTTAGTCAACTAAGCAAAAGTAACTTTAATAGTAATAATGCCAACTGGGTCTCAGTCTTTGTGGTCAGGAAAATTGTCAAAAGACCCTCAGCCCTTGGAAAAATGAAAATGTCTGAATAGAGAGAAAAGGGAAGTATATGTTCTTGTGTCATAGGTGAACTTGAGAGGAAGCAGAAAATTATCTGGGATGCCTACTCATCTGCAAGTAGAATCCTCAACCTGTCTGTGTGACCTGGCAAATGTATGTGGTTTCTGATTCCACAAAATGCCGGGAGGTATGAGGCATTGTAGATGAAAACTTAACAGTGTGATGCCTCTAGAAGATGAAATCTCACAGTTGCAGAAGACTTTTCAGAATTTTTTTCTAATCAAGTTTGCTCCTTGGGCACAGACTAAATTACTTTCACAAGAGATTGATACTATTCCTAAGTAGATCTAAATAGATGAGCCCATAACCTGGCCTCTTGAACTTCAAGTTAGGAGCATAGGTAGATATGGAACTGAGGTCTCCTTTCATTAGCAATAATGTATACTTAAGTATTATTTCTGAAAATGATGCTTTCAAAAAGAAATTTGAGTTAAAAAGATTATGTAAACTCCTTGTTAAAAGCTGGAAGAGGGAACCATTTTACTCTGATAATAGGTTTCTTGTAATGTCTGTGAGATCCTTGAGTTAAACTTACTTGCTTCATCTAGGAGGAAGCATTGAGGCCCAGAGATTGTATAGCTATCAAGCACCACAGTAAGGATGAAATGATCTTCTGATGCCTTTTGTTCTTCCATGGCATCATGCCTTTTCATTTTGGCATTTCTTGCTATCCTCCTGCAATTCCTCATGAGCAAACATTTGCCAAGAAGCACATTAGGCAAAGAGGCAAGCAGAACATTTATGCCAGGTAACAGCTCAGCAGATCTACAAGTTGCTGGTACGTTCTCTTAACTGAGTTGTCTTTCCTCAAATACTCATAATATTATGAGTTCAAGTAAAGGCATCATCTTCATCTCTCACTCTTTCTTGCCTCCCAGTTTATGAATATGTTTAGTTTCATAGACTGTTTATCAGTCAGTCTAAAATTGTTTGTTAAAACCTCTTTAAAAATCCAAATTCATTTCATTCATTCACCACTGTGGCCTCTGAGGATATTGTGTCGCACAAAAGGGATGATTCCCAGTTCTATCCTGATAATATTCAAGGGTTGAATACTCCAAGGGTTTATACTACAGGCTCAAATGCAGTCTTTATATCAAAATTATCAGGTTTATTGGCCTCTAATGCAGTATTTGGTTGAGACATTGGAGAAGAACTATTAATGCTGAAAAGTCTATTCATTTTAAATTAAGAGCTAGAACAAAACTAAATGGGTTCCTTATCTTATTCCTCTGAACCTTCACAGCCAGATAATAGATATCTAAATCTCTGTAAGAGTAATTAAATGAGTAAGAGAACTCAAACGCTTAAGACCAAAAACATTCTTAGAACAAAAATGTATACAGGCATGTAAAAACTTTATGAACATTCATGAAAACAGCTGAAAATCACTATGATCAAGAAATGGAAAATCTTTAGTATAGAATGGCTCAAATTGCACAATTTGGACATAAATGAGTAATCTAAAGCTAATGGGATTACATCACATAACAAAGTTTTAAGATCAATTTTATTTTTAAAAATATTTTATTATTTTTATTTTATGTGTATGAGTATATTGCCTGCATGTATGTGAGTGCACCTGTGTCGTGCAATGCCATGGAGGTCAGAAGATGGTGTTGGATTCCCCTGGAACTAGAGTTAAGGGATGGTTCATAGCCACCATGTGGGTGCTGGGACTCGAACCCGGGTCCTCTGCAAGAGCAGTCAGTGCTCCCAATTGCTGAGCCATCTCTCCAGCCCCTTAAGATCAATTTTGAAATAGGGGTAAAAAAAAACTGATTCTTTTTCTCACAGAAAAAAATAAAATGTATAGATAAAAGGACAGGGGAGTGAGTTGAGTTTTTCCAGATCCTCATCAGATACTGACTTTTGATAATTAACCTAAGATGCACTCTTTGGAAATGGGAGTACTTGCAAGATGTTGATATGCTTTTCTATCCAGGGATCTAAAAACTGTGATTAAAAAATTCAACTTAATTGACTAAGTCTGGCAGTTTGTGTTCCTCAAGCCCATATGCCAAAGCACCATCACAATGCCAAAGCCAAACTGAGGGTATTAGCAAGCAGTGGCTTTGAGAGGTGATTAGGTCATGGTGCTTTAACAATATGTGTGAGATTAGTGTTCTTGTAAAGGTGCCCCAAAGAGCTAGCTAGTCCCTTTGCCAGTAAGGATACACGCCCAAATAGCACCATTTATGAAACAGAGCAGGCAAGCCCTCACTTAACACCTAAGCCCTGGCCCCTTGATTTGGCCTTCC